GTCCTACAAATGCATACAATTGCATGCCTGTGTAGATGAGGTCTTAGTTGTCACTTGCACAAGTATTCTCAGAGGTTCGAAATTTGTAATTTGTATTTAAGTTTTAAGCCTTATGCATATGGGTGCCTGGGGCCATACAACTTAAAGTTCAGATGTATTCCCCCACCCTGTAGTCATAGGTTCTGCATACAGCCATCGATTTCTATAGACACGTGTCCTGAATTTTACATTGTACAGCAGCAGACACCTCTGGGCTAGAGGCCCTAGTCCTGCTGAAAATGGTCCCCAGGAAAAATAGAGAGTGAATTGCCCTAGTGGAGATACAGACAGCAATAAAAACGCTATAAGGGTTCCAACACATTCTTGCCCTAATCTAAACAAAACAAAAAAAAAACAGTTTTAAAAACAATAGTAAACCTCTTCATGTGTCAAAATGCATAATTTTTCAAATGTGCTTTTCATATCATTTTTTTCCTTGCCTGGTTAAGTCACTGCCATGCAGTAGCTATGGTCACCATCATCCGGACAATTCAGATGGTGGGACTAAAGGACGCTATCAGGTCTGCATATCTTTTCTGCAGACCTTGTATCATAGAGAAGCACTCAGTGTGGAGCATGATAAAGATTTGCTGTGGCTGCCTTTGAAGCAGCTTGTTGTACAAGATAAAGTCTAGGTAAAGAAGCCTAAAGTTCATACAAACATAAGTAATCTGGTTCTGTCTGGGCAATCACCTTATGTCTGAAGGCCCTTAATTGTTGCATGACCTAGAATTTTCAGGACATGAAGTGATCTTTCCTGGTTGATTGCAGCTCTTTTCTCCTAGATAAAATGGCAATCAGATGCTCTTTCTTCCATGGGTCAAAACATACACTCTCTGGCCACTTTATTAGGTATACCTGGTTACCTGTAAATGATCTTTCCTAAAAAAGATCTTTGCATAGACATGTATGTGTGCATTAAGTAACCATCTACACCGGCCACTTTATTAGGTACACCTTGCTAGTGCCAAGAAAATATCCCCCACACCATTACACCAGCACCACCAGTCTGAACCATTGATACAAAGGCAGGATGGACCCGTGCTTCCTTGTTGCTAACACCAAATTCTGACCCCACCATCTAAATGTTGAAGCAATGAGTCTGCCCATCTCCTCTGACCTCAACAAGACATTTTCATCTACAATTGATGCTCACTGGATATTTCCTCTTTTTCGGACCATTCTCTGTAAACCCTAGTGATGGTTGTGTGTGAAAATCCCATTAGATCAGCAATTTTTGAAAAACTCAGACCAGCCCATCTGCACCAACAATCATGCCATGTTCAAAGTCACTTAAATTTGCTTTCTTCCCCATTCTGATGCTCAGTTTGAACGTCAGCAAGATGTCTCTTACCACATCTAGATGCCTACATGGATTGAGTTCCTGCCATGTGATTGGCTGATTAGCAATTTGTGTTACCAAGCAATTTAACAGGTGTACCCAATAAATTGGCCAGTGAAGGTATAAATATATGAGTCTGCAGATCAGTACAGTTTTAAAATGACCCTGTCATTTATGTGACACAAAACATAAATAATCCAACAAGAGAAGAAGCTGGATGCTCTGGAAAGTTACTTGAGAGAAGCCCTACCTAAAACAGAAATCACAAGCCACAGACCTAGCAAAAGCACTCTCACCAGGTCCTAGCTCTGTTTTGGCATTTACTCCATATGATTGGGATCAACCTATAACATGTCCTCCTCCTATACCTACAGTGAGTGGTGAGGGTGTGGGTTATTGTTCCCGTCAACCAGAGGTCTCCCTTTTCCTCACCATATTATGGGCTATGCTTACTTTCTAACATTTGGAATTGGAGGCAACATGCAATACCCCATTTTGGCACAGTTAGCTGGTATGAGAATGCAAGAACATTTGATTTCCTTAAACATGCATCCATCTGGAAACCAGTCGTTTTGTGTGCACAAGGGATTCACAAGCCTGTCCCTCTTCTGAAGGAGATGGAGAGGCAATGGTATGATCAGCAGAAATGTTTTGTGAGCTGCTGTGTGATGAAAGATAATGTCCCAACTGTAGGTTGCGACCTCCGGCGCTGTCTCCACAGAAGGAGTTTTCTTGGTCTCAGGTACATTACTACACTGCTCAAAATAATTAAAGGAACACTTTTTAATCGGAATATAGCATCACGTCAATTAAACTCCTGGGATATTGATCTTGTCAGTTATGTAGCAGAGGGGGTTGTTAATCAGTTTCAGCTACTCTAGTGTTAATGAAATTAACAACAGGTACACTAGATGGGCAACAATAAGACAACCCCCAAAACAGAAATGGTTTTACGGGTGAAGGCCACTGACATTTTTTTCACTACTCATCTTTTCTGTTTTTCACTTGTTTTGGATTTGGCTAGGGTCAGTGTCACTACTGGTAGCATGAGGCGATACTTGGACCCTACAGAGTTTGCACAGGCAGTCCAGCTCCTCCAGATGGATGGCACATCAATACCATTGCCATAAGGTTTGCTGTGTCTCCCAGCACAGTCTCAAGAGCATGGAGGAGATTCCAGGAGACAGGCAGTTACTATAAGAGGGCTGGACAGGGCCGTAGAAGGTCCTTAGCCCATCAGCAGACTAGTATCTGTTCCTTTGTGCAAGGAGGAACGGGGTGAGCACTGCCAGAGCCCTACAAAATGACCTCCAGCAGGCCACTGGTGTGAATGTCGCTGACCAATCAGAAACAGACTTCATGAGGGTGGCTTGAGGGCCCAATGTCCTCTAGTGGGCCCTGTGCTCACTGCCCTGCACCATAGAGCTTGATTGGCATTTGCCAATGAACACCAGAATTGGCAGGTCCACTACTGACACCCTGTGATTTTCACAGATGAGAGGAGGTTCACCCTGAGCACATGTGATAGATGTGAAAGGGTGTGGAGAACATTATGCTGCCTGTAACATTGTTCAGCATGACTGTTTCGGTGGTGGGTCAGTAATGGTCTGGGGAGGCATATCCATGGAGGGACGCACAGACCTCTACAGGCTAGACAATGGCACCCTGATTGCCAGTAGGTATCAGGATGAAATCCTTGGACCCATTGTCAGACCCTACGCTGGTGCAGTGGGTCCTGGGTTTCTCCTGGTGCACGACAATGACCGGCCTTGTGGCAAGAGAATGCAGGCAGTTCCTGGAGGATGAAGGAATTGATAGCATTGAATAGCCCCACACTCACCTGACCTAAATCCAATAGAACACCTCTGGGATATCATGTTTCGGTCCATCCGATGACGCCAGGTTGCACCTCATACTGTCCAGGTGCTCAGTAATACACTGGTCCAAATCTGGGAGGAAATACCCCAGGGCACAATCCGTCGTCTCATTAGGAGCATGCCCAGATGACGTTAAGCATGCATACAAGCACGTGGGGGCCATACGAATTACTGAGTGCTATTTTGAGTTGCTGCAATGACATTTCAGCAAAATTGATGAGCCTGTTGCATAATTTTTCACTTTAATTTCCGGGGTGTCTTTGAATTCAGTCCTCTGTAGGTTGATCATTTTCATTTCCATCAAACGATGGGGCATCCCTGTTCCTAACACATTGCCCAGTCCATATGGGTAGTTATCCAGGAGTACAGGTCGTTTTGCACTCCTTTGACCCATTTTCAGCCAACAGCAGGCTTAAGTCCACTGTCGGCTGATATCAGGCTTGGGAAAGATCCCAACCACATGGGCGGAATCCACCCAGATGCCTGGACAGGCACCTGGCTCAGCCTCTCAGCGATCTGTCGAGAGCCTGAGCCAGCCCTTCCACAGCCCAGTGCGTGTTATAGGGGCAGAGCAGGGAGCCAGGGACTGACAGTCATGGATCTCTGTTCAGAGCTGAGGGGAGAACTGAGCGATCAGCAGTGTTTGAATACTCAGTTCTCACTGCAGAGCCAGCGGAGGACAGATGCAGCATCCATCTAGGTGAGTATAAATGTTTGGGTTTTTTTAAGTCCATACTTCTCTTTTAACAACCAGTGAATAGCTGAATGTTAAGGAGCTGGTACATGCCAGTGTCCTTAAAGTAGACCTCATAACTTGAAATTATTATTCTTTAGCGAGAAACATACATTCCACATTAATTATGCTACCAAAATTAGCGTGCTGTAAATTACCTCCAGTAATTGTTCCTATTTCTTCTTGCTGTAGGCTGCCATTTTGCTGAAGCCAAAGCAGCAAATCTATCATCAGATGGCCCGCTACGTTTTCAGGAGTGCCAAAAAATAGAGAGCAATAAGCATATGCAGAGTAGTGTGAAACAGTGTATTACTGGATTTTAAACAGTATAGGCACTTATTTTTGTTTTGTATGCCTATACCTGCAAATAGGGCCAGTCTGAAGTGATCTGGCAGGACTTCAGACTGGACCTATTTGGAGCTGGAGCATGCTGACCACCATGGATGTACAGTGAGGAAAGTTGGGAGCTAGGCACAAGTGTAGTTATCACTGGTTGTTAAGGACACCATCAGGTGCTGGCTACTTAACCAATAAATCGCAGAGCCAGCATGCACCAGTGTCTTTTAAAAATCAGTGAATAGCTGGATGTTAGGGAACCAGAATCCAATGGCGTCCTTAACCAGCTATTCATTTCAAATGTGTTGCACTAAATTTTAATGCTATGCGTTTTTTTTTTTTTTTAACCAGTTCACTTATTTTTCAAACAGTAGGCTGCAAAGTATTGCACCCATGATCAGCATGCTTACAGTTCATTTAACCACTAGCCTACCGGGCACTTATACCCCCCTTCCTGCCCAGGCCAATTTACAGCTTTCAGCGCTGTCACACTTTGAATGACAATTGCGCGGTCAAACAACACTGTACCCATCTGAAATTTTTATCATTTTTTTTTTGTGACAGATAGAGCTTTCTTTTGGTGGTATTTTATCACCTCTGGGTTTTTTATTTTTTCTTAAACAAACCAAAAACCACTGAAAATTTTGAAAAAAAAAAAAAAAAAATGTTTTTGTTATAAAATTTTGTAAATAAGTGATTTTTCTCCTTCACTAATGTGCGCTAATGAGGGTGCACTGATGGACACTGATAGATGGCACTGATGTGTATTGACAGGCATCACCGATTGGCACTGAAAGGCAGCACTGACTGGCACCATCGATTGGCATTGATAGGTGGCACTGAAAGGCAGCTTAGATGGGCAGTGATATGTGGCACTGACACGAGTGCTGGTGCTACACTGATCATCAGGGCACACTGATCATCAGTGCCCTGATGATCAGTGCACATGTCCCCTCCACGAAAAGCCGGTTACCGGCTCTCCTCTCAAGCTGTCAGCGTGACAGCTCGAGGATTGAAATGCCGGCATTTCCGTTTACATGTGATCAGCTGTGATTGGACACAGCTGATCACATGACAGAGCCGACATCTTCGACTCTTTCCGTGATCGGTGATCCGCTGTGTTTGAGGGACACAGCGCACCGCCGATCGCCGCGCATGCGCAGTGAGAATGGGAGGACGTCAAATAACGTCCTCCCAGAACGAGAGAACCACCTTGCGCCCATCATATTACTATATGGCGGGCGGGAGGTGGTTAAACTACAAGCCCGCCACAGTGGCAGACGGGACTTGTAGTTTCTTCATATACAGATTCCTGTGAACAAATGATACCACCATGCAAGCCATTTTCAAATTGTGACAGTGGCTGCAGAGAGAAGAGCCCCCACTTCCTGTCACACAGAGGCGCTGAAAGGGCGATCTAGAACATGTTACACCCTAAATAAAGTGTAACATGTTCTAAAAGGTGACCTTAGTCTTTAAGGCCTACTTCCATGCGGCTACATGTGTGACAACTGGTACTTTTTTGTGCCTCCTTTTTTAAATATTAACTACTTAGCAGTCTGTTCCAGGTAGGTGACTAAACTCCTTTGGATCAAAATCACAAACATGCATTTTCAAGTATGCCCCCAAAACACATTGCCACAGCTGCTCTCCACACCAGACTCTATCCAGGACTAGCTGACAGGCGAGGGAGTACAGCTACAATCAGCAAAGGAGGCCTTCCCCACGGTGCAGTGTTTGACAGGTATGGGAGCACACTCACCTGTATAGCCAAATGACATCTCAGGTTCTGTGGAGGGTTCCTCTCTTTTACACGATTGGCTACCAAATACATGCTCACCTGTGATTCTTACATCATCCTTATGCGAGTGCAATATACTTGTGTTTATTATTCTTAAAAAAAAAAAAAAAAGTGGGCTGTGCTAGGTCTGTGTACTTTATCTGTTCTTTTCCCTTTTACAAAATGGCAACCCAAGTATTTGATATCATATCCCCGATGAATCATATCCCCCAGAAGTCACGTGACCCGGTGACGTAACGCGTAGGGGAGGGGCTCTGACATCACGACGTTGTCTTGGACACAGCACGGCAAGCATAGCAGAAACTGCAGGACAGGCTGAAACTGCCTTACTCTGAAGCCTATGCTAAAAAACTCTGTATGGAACTTGCAGCAGCAAATAAAGCCTTAATTTTAAAAGTATAAAGCACTATGATGGTTTTGTTTCTTCATACAATCATCCTGTGATATATTGGAGAGAAATCAGTATAGGAGGAAGGAGACCTTTGGAAGAAAAAGCGAAATATCCATCCAGCCATCAAATCCTGATCAGCAGCAGGCATAATCACTCCAGAGATCCCAGGTGGATTAAGATCGAGCATAATCATCCCATTTGCCATCAGGAATATCCTAAGCAGGAGGATCATCCCAGCAGTCCTATAAGGACAAAAAGCTAGTTTTGCCTTTTTATAAGGCAAAACCTGAGGTGAGCGCATAATAAAATCACACTGCACGTGGATTATGGGATTGCACCATCATAATTTAAATTGAAAGAGGACGGTCTATGAGCACTTTTTCATGTATATTGTTTTTATCACTATTTACTATTGTCACCAGCACAGTATGCGGTATTTATTTATGATGTTATAAGCAGAAGATAACTATTTTATACACTAGATATAAGTATATATATTTTATTATTTTTTTTCTTATTTTATTTTTTTTTTCCTCTGGATTGTCATTTGAAATAGTGAATATTGTAATTATTTATACACAGGAGCGCGGCACAATTTATATATTTAATTTTCTCACAGAACACTGAATATTAGACTGTTCAAAAAAATAGCAGTGTTTGTATTCTTCTTTACAAACTCAAACATTTCACTATATAAACTGAAAAATTTTGAAGATTTTGCTTTCCTTTGAATCAATTAATATTTAGTTGTATAAGCACTGTTTCTGAGAACTGCTGTACATCTGTGTTGCATGGAGTCAACCAACTTCTGGCACCTGTGAACAGGTATTCCAGCCCAGGATGATTGGACTACATTCCACAGTTCTTCTCTATTTCTTGGTTTTGCTTCAGAAACTGCATTTTTGATGTCACCCCACAAGTTTTCTATTGGATTAAGATCCGGGGATTGGGCTAGCCACTCCATAACGTCAATCTTGTTGGCCTGGAACCAAGATGTTGCACATTTACTGGTGTGTTTGGGGTCGTTGTCTTGTTGGAACACCCATTTCAAGGGCACTTCCTCTTCAGCATAAGGCAGCATGACCTCTTCAAGTATTCTGATGTATTCAAACTGATCCATGATCCCTGGTATGCGATAAATAGGCCCAACACCATAGTATGAGAAACATCCCCATATCATGATGCTTGTGCAACCATGCTTCACTGTCTTCACAGTGTACTGTGGCTTGAATTCAGTGTTTGGGGGTCGTCTGACAAACTGTCTCCGGCCACTAGACCCAAAAAGAACAATCTTACTTTCATCAGTCCACAAAATGTTGCGCCATTTCTCTTTAGGCCAGTCAATGAGCTCTTTGGCAAATTGTAACCTCTTCAGCACGTCTTTTTTTTTTCAACAGTGGGACTTTGCGGGGGCTTCTTGCAGATAGCTTGGCTTCACATAGGCGTCTTCTAATTGTAACAGTACTCACAGGGAACTTTAGACCTTCTTTGATCTTCCTGGAGCTGATTGTTGGCTGAGTCCTTGCCATTTTGGCTATTCTTCTATCCATTTGAATGGTAGTTTTTCGCTTTCCTCCATGTCTTTCAGGTTTTGGTTGCCATTTTAAAGCATTTGCGATCATTTTAGCTGAGCAGCCTATCATTTTCTGCACTTCTTTATATGTTTTCCCCTCTCCAATCAACTTTTTAATCAAGGTACGCTGTTCTTCTGAACAATGTCTGGAACGACCCATTTTCCTCAGAATTTCAGAGAGAAATGCACTGTAACCAGCATGTACAACATTTCCTGCATTCCTTCCTTAAATAAGGGCAATAATTGCCACCTGTTTTTCAAAAAATGAATGACCTCACTAATAGAACTCCACACTGCTATTATTTTGAACATGCCCCTTTCAATTAGTGATTCAATTACACAGAATCAGCAGCATGCATGTCATGACTGTTGGGTCTGTTGGATTTCTATTAATCTACTACACCTGCTAGTAAATTATTTGCCATGTAGAAATATCATTTCTACCAAAAACAGTGATTGATCAGGTTAGTGATGTCTGACTGCTATTATTTTGAACACAACTGTACATGAATCACAACTTTGACTGACCACAGATCTTGTCAGAGGGAAAAAAAAAAAAACAAAAAAAAAAAAACAGCATAAATACTATTATTTCAACGGTGTATTTCTGATATTTCCCTATAAAACTTTACTTTAGCCCTTTGACTGCCAAGGACATTACAAACATCAAGGTTGCCTCCTTTGTTAGCCAATGATGTCCACAATATATCTTGGCAATCAAAGGTGCTAAAGGGAGTCCGTGGTATTGCAAAAGTGAGCTTGTTTTAAAGTTGAACTCTAAGCAAACCAAAATACTTGGATGAAACACATACTGCAACAGTTTTACCTGCAACAGGATTTGTATTTCTGTCCATCCACTCCTAAAATGTACACAGCTCTGTCTCGCAGCACAGTCATGATGAAAACCATGTTGCTGCTCTCCAGTCATTAGCTGTGGTGGCTGCATTTTCCTTAATCATTCCCCTCCCCCCCCCTTTATTTTTACTGGAGGATGATGCCAGTAACATAGTGCCTGTTCTAAGGTGAAAACAGCCACTTGCTGTAATGTAGCTATAGAGGAACAGCATTGTCACTGTGGGACAGGAAGTTATGATTACATTATACATCCCCTTTTTCTCATCTCCATGACACAAGGGAGAAGTGGTATGATGTTCACAGAGGTGAACTAAAATGGCTGATAATACTGCTTCACGTTTCAGTGCAGCAGAGAGCATGGAAAGTTATGAGCTTTCTGGATTTCTGTCTGGATCAACAGGGAATTTTTTTTTGCACTTCTCACAACAGACATAAAACATTTTAGTGGTAGCTTACAGGCCATGCTGCTCCATACCTAGCAGCCAACCCCTGGACCAGAGTGCTGTCATAACTGCGAGATTGTATTGCTAACTGTGGAAGAGGTTCTGGGGGTACCCAAAGAAAACCCCCCCCCCCCCCCCCCCCCAAAAAAAAAAAACACACTGCCACTTTGCCCGAAATGTGCAAGGTGTCAGTCTCTTTAGAAAGGAATTTTTTTTTTTTTTTTTTTTTAAGTAGCTGTAAACAGTGTTCTACTTGTCTTCTATATTGGTATTTCTGCATTTGTTGAATCATCATTTCAAATTTAAAACTGAAAATGTACAATGCAAATATGAAACATTTCCTCCACAATTTTACTGGATTAAAAAAATCAAAACAGTTACTCATTTATTAACACAAAGGGCTGAACATCATTTAAAAAAAAATGTAGAACTGTGTGGATTTAGGTTTATCCACAAAGTGAAGCCACTTGCAATGCTTGATCCTTCTGAGTTCATCAGTCATTGTCTTCCTGCCAAAATCATAAGACTGCCATTTTTCTTTACAAGGCTCACAAAATAGGTCTTGGCTGCTGTGTCAGGAGTAGGTTAAATCGTTTCTTGATAGTAATGCGGTGTCGTGAGTACTTGTCATCTGGGGAGAACCGTGCAGGATGTGCTGAAGAGGTTGGCTGTCCGTCTGGACATACTTTCTGTTGAAAGGGAAGAAAAGGCAAACTTAAAAACTAGCCATCTACACATAACACAGTCAAGTTTTGTAACCTGGATCTGAAGGATGGGTTGATGCAGTTTATTTTATGGTACCTGCTACTAGGCAAACACAGTGCTTTCATTTTCTACAATACAGACTGGTAAACTCCACTCAAATTAAGGCTGTAGTTGTAAATAGCAACATAGACTATCAGACTGGGGCTTCTGTTCTTTCACTCATACTGGCACCAGGCCATATTGCAAACCCGTGTTTTGCCCAATCATGGTAAAATAGCATGTTTGGTAGC